AGATCTGATGCTTTCTAATGCTGCTGTAAAACCAGAAACTAAGAGGAAATCTGCTTAAAATTCAGGAGCAGAAAAAGAAAGGAGGCTACTGTGACATTGAACTTCCAGGCTTGCTCTTATTTTCTATCTGACAACTCCCATTGATCTGTTGGCCTCTCACATTAAAAGACATTTTTGTTTTGCTCCATCCAATCCTCTTAATGGTGTGGACTGAGTCATTTCTTCTCGTATTCATAGAATCCCTACAGTGTGGAAGCAGGCCATTCAGCCCAACAAGTCCACCCCGCCCCTCCGAAGGGCATTCCACTCCGAATCATTCCCCTACTGCTGCATTTCCCCATGTCTAACCCACCTAACCTAAACAGCCTTGGATACTACGGGCAATTTAGCGTGGCCAATCCACCTACCCTGCACATCTTTGGACTATGGGAGGAAACCCACGCAGACACGGGGAGAATGTGCAAACTCCACAAAGACAGTCGCCCGAGGGTGGAATCAAATCTGGGTCCCTGGTGCTGCGAGGCAGCAGTGCTAACCACTGAGCCACTGTGCCACCCTTGCAATAGTTCCATATTAGGTGACAGTTTGGAATTTAATGTTGCTAATATTAGTGAGCTAGTACTGAACAAACTCACGTTGCATTCTGACCAAATTGCAACACAGTCATTAACCAGAAAATGTTACGTTTGTTTGCTAGTCTTGCTGGCAGTAACCTCTGGGTGCCTCATTATTGGTGCATTTATATAACTTAATTTTGAATATACTTGTATGCATTTCTATTTTTATTTATTTATGCTCAGAATTTGGGAAAATTTGCTGCATGATTTTTAAAACATGCTCTGATACATCATTCACAGTGACTGACACGAACAAGTACAATCTGACCAAGATTGTAACTTTGTCTAAATGTTTCCAACATATTATCAGCAGTTTGGTTACAAAACATGTAAAAAAAATTTTAATAGGTATTGGTTTTGTTGCCTTTTCAAGGTGAATCTCAAAATAAAATGGAGTGGTATTTACAAGGCAGTTAGAATTTGGAAGAAGAATTGAGTAAAGTGACTTATCTGATAGATATTCCTGATTGTAGGAAGGATTAGATTGGAGGAAGAATTAGGTATGTCATATATACATGTTGAAGCAGTATCATCGCAGGGAAGAGGATATAAAGTAACAAGTATGACAGGTGGTAAGAATACTGGAAAATGACAAAGACAGTAAGAGTAAAGTAGAAGGAGAGGTTTACAGTTCACAAAGTGAACTTGTTACAATTTGACTGGCAATAGAGAATTACTGGGACAGTTAGAAACTGTTTTCATATTTAGAGGATGGACAATTGGAAGATCTTGTAAAGTTACTTTGGAAGACTCAGGAAATATGTAAAGATACATTGCGATATACAGTGTTAACTAGACATGTAGTGGACCTAAGAGACTTGGTGCTGATAAAACAACATCCTTATTGGTTGAGGCCAGAGAAACGAGTTCAGGTGGAAATAAATTCAGTGCATGCTGGGGAGCCACATAATTGATCCTTGCCAAAGCAGCTGAAGTTCACTGGTGGTGTTAGTTCCTAAGCCAGGTGGATCGACTACATTTTTGCATAAACGATAGAAAGTAAAATGCAGTGACGAAAACCAATTCAAACTCAATTCCTCGGTTCGAAGCTTGTATTGATAGGTTGGCATGGCCTTATTTCTTTCTAAAATTGATTAAAGAATACTGGTAAACACCATTAACTTCAAGGGTTAGGGAGAAATCTGTCTTTGTAACCAAATTAATTATGGAATGGTTGACTCATGCCATTTGTTTTTAAAAAACCTTGGCTATGTTCTAAAACCTTATAAATCAAGGCGTAGTTGAAGTACCAAACTGTGTGGTTTATTTAGATGACGTTGTAATGTACAGTGACGCATAGGAAGAACATGTAAAGCAATTAGATGTTTAATGTTATTTATTTAATTAATTAATGTTTATGTAATTTCCGTTAGCTGGCTTAGTAACCAATCTTGCGAACAGCGGATTTGCAAAAGCAAGGCTAACTTACCTAGGGCACATTGTAGGACTGGGACAAACATTGCCAAGAACTGCAAAAGTAAAGGCTCTGATAGAATTTCCTATTTCTAAAAGTAAATGAAAATCATGAGATTTTTAGGACTGTATGCATCTTGTAGGAAATCTGTGACTAATGTCAGCACAAAAGCTGTACCATTAACAAATTTGTTATGGAAAAAGTGCTTTGGTCAGCACAATGCCAAGCAGCCTTTGAGAAACTGAAGCCGCATCTAATAAATGAACTAGTATTGATCACTCCTGACCATATCAAACCTTTTAAAACGGCAGTTGAGGCCTCAGACTTGGGGTAAATACAGTCTTATTGCAAGATGATGAGTTGGGAGTAGAGGAACCAGTGGGGTACTTGTACAAGAAATTATTCAAATATTGGGGAAGTATTCTACCATAGAAAAAAAACACTGGCATTATCACAAGCTTTTCAACACTTTACTTCATAGAATCATAGAATCTCTACAGTGTGGAAAGAGGTCATTCAGCCTAACAAGTGTGCACTGACCCTCTGAGGAGCATGCCACTCATGTATAAGGGGAGCCCTCATGTATAAGGGGAGCAAAAGAATGAATAGATTTGTCTTGTTTTCTGTTGTCTGTCACCATACCAAAAATTTCATCTTTCCAAAGATCGGAGGCATGTAAAGTCCACATGTTTTTATTGCCTAATTTTGGCCTGCTGATTAGAAAAGGAAGGTACTGCTTTAAACCAAGGGGACTATGCAAAGAGATGACCGTATGTTTATCATATCATGTTTAAATCATTTTTACTGGACCACATTGTGAGTTGTGTACAATGTTGCCTTTTTCCTGGAACAGATGGCACAGAGCTAGCGGGCTCTGAACAAAGGGACAATTGCTTGACAACAATGTTTTGTTTGGCTCTGATCAAGTGACAATGACTTGTTAGAGCCCAATATAGCAGAGAACCACCCAGCCTGGAAAAGAAAAGCATCAAAAAATCTCCCTGTTTCCTGTGACTGATTAGGAATAGTCAACATGGCTTTGTGTGTGGGAAATCATGTCTCACTAACTTAATTGAGTTTTGAAGAGGTGACAAAGAAGATTGATGAAGGCAAAGTGATTTACGTTGTCTATATGGATTTCAGCAAAGCGTTCAACAAGGTTCCGCATGGAAGACTAGTTATTAAGACTAGATCACATGTGATCCGCAGGAGCTAGCCAATTGGATACAAAATTGGCTTGAAGGTAGGAGACAGAGTGTCGTGGTAGAGGGTTGCTTTTTAGACTGGAGGCCTGTGACCAGTGGTGTGCCACAAGAATTGGTACTGGGTCCACTGCTTTGCATTATTTATATAAATGATTTGGATCTGAATATAGGAGATATGGTTAGTAAGTTTGCAGATAATACCAAAATTGGTGGTATAGTGGACAGTGAAGAAGATTACCTCAGAGTACAATGTGACCTCAATCAGACCGGCCAATGGACTGAGGAATGGAAGATGGAGTTTAATTTAGATAACTGCGAAATGTTACATTTTGGCAAAACAAATCAGGGCCAGACTTGTAGAATTAATGGTAGGGCCCTGGGGAGTGTTGCTAAACGAAGAGACCTAGGGGTGCAGATGCATAATTCCTTGAAAGTGGAGTCACAGGTAGTCAGGGTATTAAAGAAGGTGTTTGGCATGCTTACCTCATTGGTCAGAACATTGAGAAAAAGAATTGGGATGTCATGTTGTCGCTGTACAAGACATTGGTGAGGTCACTTTTGGAATACCGCAGACAGTTCTGATGGCCATCCTATAAGAAGGATGTTATTAAACTTGAGAGGGTTCAGAAAGGATTTACAAGGATGTTGCCAGGACTGGAGAGTCTCAGTTATAGGAAGAGGCTGAGTATGCTGGGGCTTCTTTCCCTGGAGTGTCGGAGGCTGAGGGATATCCCTGTGGAGATTTATAAAATCATGAGGGGCATCGATTGGGTAAATAACCAGGGTCTTTTTACTAAGGTGGGGACGTCCAACATAGAGACCATAGGTTTAAGGTTAGAGGGGAGAGATTTAAAAGGGACCTGAGGGGTAACTTTCGACACAGAGGTTGGTGTCTGTATGGGACCAGCTGCCAGAGGAAGTGGTGGAGGCTGGTACAATTGCAACATTTAAAAGGCATCTAGATGGGTATATGAATAGGAAGGGTTTAGAGGGATATGGGCCAAATGCTGGCAAATGGGAGCAGGTCAGATTAGGTTGTCTGGTCAGCATGGATGAGTTGGACTAAAGGCTCTGTTTCTGTGCTGTATGACTCTGACTTTATAAGTTTGGATAACATTGTACTGTTACTATTACAAAAATCAGTGAATAAATTACACTATTCCATTTAAAATAAAGTTGACAGTTCAATTGTATGTTGGGCTTAGTCTCAAATTTTTTGAATTGAATGATTTGTCACTTAAATTTTACATTGAATAATGCAGTTAAACACAATGAAAAGCTTCAACTATTGCCGCAATCCAGAACCTTTTTGAATAGTTTAAAAATAGAAAGAGTAAAAAGATATAACTGAAATGAGTTTGTCTTTGTTCTGTTTCTAACATGAGTCCTGAATTGGCTCACCTGTGCTGGCACCCCTCCTTCACAGTCTTGCTGCCTGTGCTGGATCCACCAATGTAGGAATTGCCACTCTTTAGGTGCCATCTCTTCATCACTGGGCCCTCCTCTCCGTTGCCAAGTCCCACACTGAATCCACATTCACCCTGCATCCACGAGTTCCCGGCTCTGCTGCTGCCACCTCCCTGATAACCAGGATTCCTATCTCTGGGCCTACCGCAACCACAACTAGGGGACTACATTGATGTTGCCAGGAGTTCCCGCTCCAGGGACACCAAGCTGCTGCTGCCAAACCAGCACCAAGAGTCCCTGCTCTGGGTCTACTGCTACCGCTGCCCTCCTCTGAGATGTCACCTTGCTGGTGGCTCCATGTTGAAGAGTCAGCTGCCACCAATCATTGAAGGAGTTATTCTGCTGCTGCTGCTGGCCCTGAGTGCTGGGAGGATGTCCTTGCTCGTGCCTCCTCTGACTGCTGGGAGGCTGCTGTCACTCCCCGCACACCCAACTCTTGCTGCTGTGCCGATGCTGCCGACTAAACCATCAAAGAAAAGAAAAACAAAAGAAAAACGTGGAAGAAATAGAACAGAGGTAAAAAGAAAAATAAAAGAAAGCAGATGAGAGCAGATGAGTCCTCAATAAGAACCTGCATACAGCCCTGCAATTGGCAGCCATCTTGGAGCTTTTTAGTTGCCAATATTTATATGCAGTTATGGCTACAGGTAGAAGTGTAATGTTAGTCAAATAAAAATAAGCTTTGAGACAGTAAATCAAATTTATTGGCTTGTCCTGCACTTCAAGACACTGGCTATATATGAAAGTGTTGGACTTTCTCACCCTTCTCTTACTCCAATGTGTATTACCTCGGTATAGCCTTTCATTCTCAATTAGACAACTGTACACATTTGAGACATTTGCTGTGATATGATTAGCCTCTGACCTGCCACTCCCATAGTCCCATAGTACAATACAACAATTGTATCTGTATTGTATCTGTTTGTAGTATATCACAAATGGAAAGCATGCAATGCCTTGCACCTTCTCACAGTTATCACAGCTGGCCTCTCCACAGAGAGAAACAGAATCTCAACCAAGCGCAAAATAATTAACCACGAGATGAATTTGTTGCTGTATTAAAATGAACAGAGAACATTGACAGGACTTTAGTCATAGTGTAAATGTTCATTTCTCATGTCAAGTTGTAGTTGAGCTGCCACTGAATGGAATTTTGGGTGTGAAGGAGAGAAGATTTAGCTGTCTGGTGTCACCCCTCAATGATCTTTGTAGTCCTTCCCTGTGGAGGTAGTTTCCCTCCCTTTATTCCTTTGTAGTTATGGAGGGTCTAAATGTCAGCCTATGGGGTGACCTCAATGACTGGCCTATGTTCCTAAGTCTGTTCCACCAGTCAATAAGATCTTGGCTGATAGTGCAGCTGTAGAACATTGAATAATCACTGGTCTCCTGATCACTAGAGTGGCCCTTTGGTTAGCTACACATTCCAGCCATCAACCCCCATCCCATTTTCAAAAAGCAGTTACTAACCTCTCCCACTTTGGATGTAGCCTTCTCAAAATTGAAAGCACATTAGAACATTGTGCATCTGATTTTTGGATCAAGATTGTAACTTCAGAATTTGTGTAAACTGTAGTCAATTGCAGCCTCCCTCAGATATGTCCCCCTGTTCTGGACCTCCTCTGCTGTTCTACCTCCCCAATTATACTTCATCTCACTGTCACCCACCATTTTACACTTGGAGACCCTCACATCAAGGTCCTAATACCCAAACTGGCCCTGTACTCTTCCCACATACAGACCAGAATCACCTCAAGGTTCTTTGACTCCGCACCCAACCTCCCCTTCAAGATTGTATGTTCCTTTATCTTATCCATCAGATACTACCCTATAATGTTCAGTTTCCCCATATGACTGGCCAATACAATCAGACCAATTCCCAGACTTGAGTTGTCCACAGCTTCAATGACTGCATGGACAGCAGCAATGACCCTCCCTGTTCATCCATAACCAAGTCCCCCATTTACACCCATTGACCATGGCTCATTCCTCAATACATCCCCGACTGACCAACCAGAAAAGCCTGGACTGATTGTATTTGAGTTCCTAGGTTGACCATGTCCCAGTCTCAACACTTGAAAGGTGAGGAGTTCCTGACCAGACTTGGACCAACTGTCTGACTGATCATGGCCAACAACCCAGGCTCGAAATTGCTAACTCCTTGACTCACTGTGGGAGATCTCCTTGACAGACGTAAATCCACTTTCCCACTGTAATAATGCTTCCCCCTTTTTGTTCATAGATCACCATATCCTTGATCCACATTTACATTGTTTGCCAAGTGCGCTGCAGGCAAATGCGCCACCTCTAATATTTGCGCAGTACAGTATCCTTCAGCCACATTTACCACCACTTTCACAGCCACAAGCTGCTGATTTATTTTCTGTGCCAAGTTGCCATCTCTGAAGTGCACTCTGTTGCCTTGCCATTCCCCAGTTTGGTTTTGTAATGGCCCAGGGATGCGTTTTGTCTTGGTCCCCTTGTAGGTGCCTACTGCAGTTGTTGAGTTCAGCAAAAGTGAAGGCAGTGGACACAAGAAGGAGAAAAGGTAAAGAACTTAACTGGTTTGGAAGCCAAAGATCTTATACACAATCATATATCTGAAGCACAAGAACCTTGATTGGGCAGAAGTTAATTGGGAAAGCCAGGTTAACCCCAATGAGTTGTGCAGTTTGTGAGATGCAAATGGATGCAGATAAGGTTCTTGTGGAAGGAGAACTTTAGCGCTAATGTTAATCTTGATGCAAGAATCTGATTTTAGACTCCTGCTCAATTAAACTCATCATTCTTATTGCCTCCTTTGAGAGTCAAAAATTGCACCCAGTGTTTCAGAAAGACGAACCTAGATTAAGAAATTCACTAACCTTCTGACATGGCTTAATTTGCTTGCACCAAATATTAGGAGTTAAATTACTTCATTAAAATCACCAAGCCTCTGCCATATGCCAGTTTGCTCTCAGCGTCTGTCCATGCTACAACATCACAGCAATTATCAGGGATGCATGTTTACTCCAAATATGTGTTTTAAGTCTTTTTCTGTATCTTAATTCATCCCATTAGATCTCCACTGCCTGGAGATCTCCCATCATATCCTCTCCTATCATTGAAGCGATTTCATTGTTTATTATTATCGCTAACATATGCCCCTATAATTTTTCTATTTCTTACTGTAGATCTGGAAACAGCTCCAAATTTCAAAGTGAAGGGCATAAAATAATTGTACATACCTGTCTTTTAAATTTGAGTGAATAGTGTAATCCATTGTATTCTTGTCCAAAATGGATCCCCTTTGGATAATCCATACAAGTATTCTCCTGTACATCCTTTGTTGAAATAGGATTAAATTTGGTGAGCTTTGAAAGTGTATCATTTATAGTCAAATGGAACAGTACACAATCTAGAGCTGTATCTGAGTTCCATTTAGTGGTATTTGCTTGATGTTTTCTCCTATTACTCCAGTCTAGTTGATATTTCTGTGTGGACTTCGAGCAAATGCCCTTCATTTAAATGAGAGACTTTATGTATCATATAAAGGCAAAATACTGCAGACATTGGAAATTTGAAATAAAAATAGAAAGAGCTGGGGAAACTCAATCAGGTTTGCTTTGTAGTTCTGGAAGAGTCATTGGACACAATGTTAAGAGATAACAAGGTGTAGAGCTGGATGAACACAGCAGGCCAAGCAGCATCATAGGAGCAGGAAGGCTGACGTTTCAGGCCTAAACCCTTCATCAGAAATGGGGGAGGGGAAGGGGGTTCTGAAATAAATAGGGAGAGAGGGGGAGGCGGATAGAAGATGGATAGAGGAGAAGATAGGTGGCGAGGAAACAGACAGGTCAAAGAGGCGAGGATGGAGCCAGTAAAGGTGAGTGTAGGTGGTGAGGTAGGGAGGAGATAGGTCAGTCCAGGGAGGACGGACAGGTCAAGGGGCCGGGATGAGGTTAGTAGGTAGGAAATGGGGGTGCGGCTTGAGGTGGGAGGAGGGGATAGGTGGGAGGAAGAGCAGGTTAGGGAGGCGGGGACGAGCTGGGCTGGTTTTGGGATGCGGTAGGGGGAGGGGAGATTTTGAAGCTTGTGAAGTCCACATTGATACCATTGGGCTGCATT